TACTCCCCCCGTTGAGAGGGGAACGATCAACTGTTGCATATAAATTTCGTGTTTATAATGTGTTATAATTACGCATTTCGTTTACGCATCGGTGAGACGCATTTCGGTTACGCATTATTAGTACGCATTTCGGTTACGCATTGTTAGGACGCATTTCGGTTACGCATTATTAGTACGCATTTCGGTTACGCATTGTTAGTCGATTGGCAATGGGCACAGCAGCTTAGTTGTCCTCTTTAGTTCTCCGGTGGCCGTTCGGATGGTGGCCGCCCGCGCTACGCCGTCCTCGCCTGGGTGTAGCTCGGTGATTTTACCCATTGCCCATTGTGAACACGGCAGGTTCTTATCTTTTATGAGTGCGACTGTTCCAACCTTCAGTTTCGGTCCGTCTTTGTCCCACCTTTGACGTTTTTGACACTCGTTTAGGTATTCAAGATACCATCGAGCCCAGAAGTCTTGCCGTACTTTCGTGATATGTTTCCAGCAAGACAACCGATTAGCTGGAACAGACGATAAATCGCCCTCCGGGAGGGTCGTTAGCGGCTTTCCAATTAAGTAATGAGCCGGTGTTAACACCAACATATCGTTCGGATCGGAGGAAAGGGAGGTGATAGGTCTGGAATTTAGGACACCTTCGACCTCAACTACAAACGTATTTAACTCCTCAAATGTGAATAAGGAGTCGCCCACCACTCTACGGAAGTGATGTTTGAACAACTTTACCGTGGATTCCCATAACCCGCCGAAGTGCGGTGCTATTGGCGGTATGAAGTGCCACTTAATGCGATGTTCGCTAGCGAATCTTTCTACACGATTTTTGTGTTTCTCCGAATTAAATAAGGCGTACACTTCCTTTAACTGACTGTTTGCGCCCACAAAGTTAGTTCCGTTGTCAGTGTGGATATGGGCCGGCAATCCACGTCTAGCAGCGAATCGTCGCAACGCCGCCAGGAAACCGTCAGACGATAAATCGCTCACCACCTCTAGATGTGTTGCCTTTATTGCCATGCATACGAATATACACACATAGACCTTGATTCGCGTTCGATTACGGTGTTTTTTCTCCTTTATATAAAAGGGGCCGCAATAATCTATTCCCGTATTGGTGAAGGGTATCGCGTCGCGTATACGAGCCGACGGGAGATTGCCCATTTTATATTCAATCGCCTTGGCGTCGAAACGAAAACAGCGCGTGCAGGCGCGTATTACCTTGCGTACTTGATTCCTGCCGTCGAGTATCCAAAATCTCTGACGGAGAATGTATAGGGTAGTCTGAATTCCCGCGTGATAATGGTTTTCGTGCGACTCGCGGATAATTTGATCGGTTATAAGATGCCGACTCGGAAGTAATACCGGGTGCTTTTGTGAGAATGTTAGTTTCGAGTTTTGGAGACGCCCTCCTACGCGAATCAAGTCATTTTCATCCAAGAACGGATCTAAACTAATGAGTCTACCTTTGTTTATCGCGTGTTTGCTCTTAAGTTTTTTTATCTCCTCGGAAAATTGCGCGGCTTGTGTGAGTTTTAATATACATGTTTCCGCTTCGTTTATTTCCTCCGCATTTAATGTTCCGCCGCGTTGGCTAGTAGGTCGGAATCGACGACAATATGCGACGACTCTGCGTAATTTAGCGAAAGAAGAATATCTATCGAGTATGTCGAAATTATCGGTTATTGTCGTTAGGCACGTGTCCGCCTTCACTTCGGGTATTTCGCTTATTTGTATGTTTTCGTTGGGCCATTCGCCCTCGTCTTTGATTAACCACGGAGGGCCCGTAAGCCACGTTTGATTCCGTAAAAACGCATGAGGCAATTGGCCTCTTGAGATCGCGTCGGCCGGGTTGTCTTCTGATTTAACGTGTCGCCATTCGTTCGCGCCGGTGACTTCCTGGACCTCCGCGACTCGGTTTGCTACGAAAGTTTTGAGTCGCTGAGGTGACGTTTTCAACCAGTGCAATACAATGGTTGAATCACACCAGAAAATCACCTTGTCCGGTGTAATTCCCAGCGCGTCGCTCGTTTCGCGGTATAAGCGGGCTAATAATAGTGCGCCGCACAGTTCAAGCCGTGGTATGGTGATCGTTTTCAACGGTGCGACCCGTGATTTAGCGCATACCAGTCTGTTGACGACATTTTCCTGCATCCCGTACGAACGTATGTATAGACATGCACCGTAGCCGATTTTGCTCGCGTCGCAGAATCCGTGAATTTGAATGCCCTTATAATCATCTATTAGTAATCTGCGATCAAAGGAAACCTGGTTCATTAAATGTAATTGTCGAGCAAACTCCGACCATTCGGTATACAAGCTCTGCGGAACGGATTCATCCCAATGTACCCCGCACCGCCACACGTCTTGCATTAATTTCTTCGCGCACATGACGACCGGCGCTAACAACCCTAACGGATCGAAAATCTTCGCGATTTCGGATAATATGGCTCGCTTTGTTAGTCTTTCTGTAATCTTCGTCGGATGGGTTGAGTAACATATTTTATCGGTGTGCGTGTTCCATGTTATGCCTAACGTTTTCAAAGAGCGGTCTATCTCTACCGTAAAATTCGCATGTATTTCGCTGTCTGCTAGATCCTTGATAACATCCTTTTCATTAGAAGCCCATTGTCTGATCGTGAATCCTCCCCGCGCTAGCAATTCGATGATTTCATCTCGGATCGCGCGAGCCTCTTCAATACTACCGGCGCCGGTTAATAAATCGTCTACATAAAGATGCGCCTTGAGAATTTCCGCCGCTCGTGGACATGCATTGCATTCGTCGTCCGCGAGTTTTTGTATGGTGCGAATTGCTAGAAACGGAGAGGACGCCACGCCGAACGTAAGCGTGTTTAATTGAAACGTCATTATCTCGCCGTCCCTACGCCAGAGAATCCTTTGATACCGTCGATCGCTTTCATGCAACGATACCTGACGGTACATCTTTTCTATATCCGCGGTAATAACGACCTTGTACGTCCGGAACCGAATTACGTGTGAAAAAAGTTTATCTTGAATCGTGGGTCCCACCATCAGTATATCGTTCAGAGCCACGCCGCTGCTTGTCTTCGCGGACGCGTCGAATACAACTCGAACCTTCGTAGTATTGCTTGATTCTTTAATTACGGCGTGGTGGGGCATATAAAATCCGTCATCGTTAGAGATTTCTACTACGGACATATGACCTAATCTTAAATATTCCTCCAAGACCTGCGTATATTCATTTCTCAATATTGCGTTCGCGTTGAGTTTGCGTTCTAACGAAGTTAGACGCTTGAGCGCGATATATCGCGATTCGCCGAGACGCTGGTTTGTCTCGCGAAACGGTAAGCGAACCACGTAACGCCCGGTACTGTCGCGACGCACTGTATTCCGAAAGTGTGCTTCCATTGCGATCTCCTCGTTTGATTTTGGTTTGTCCGTCGCGATTTCCTCGATAGTCCAAAATTTGTTCAATTGACTTTCTAAATTCGTAAAGTAACACGCCGTTCTTGTGGTATTTTGTACCGACGTACTACCGGCGACCACCCAACCCAAACGTGTCTTTTGCAGATATAAGTCGTAACCTTCGTGGGATAAATTAATTTGTCCGACGGAAAATAAAGATAGCGTGGCTCCGGAACCGATTAATAACTCAACCGATCGTGGTAGATGAAATTCTGGATCTGCTAGCCGCACGTTCGAGGGTATTGTGATCGACTTCCGTGGAAAGACTTCCGACGGTACTAAATCGGTAATCGTCGGTATAGTCAGACATGTTAACTCTTTGCTAAAGCCGTCAATCGTCGATTGTATCGTGATTCTCACTAAGCCCTTTGATTCGGTGTGCGTAGCGTTAATCGCGCCGACGGACGACGAGCGTGCCGTTACGGGCAAACCCAGTCTTTTCACGACGGATTCCGAAATAAAGTTCGCGGTAGCGCATGTGTCTAACAACGCCCGGATCTTGATGGAATCGCGTTTCCAATCCCGGATGTATATTATTGCACTGGTTAATAATTGTGGCGCCGAAATGGGTGATACCGTCGCGAGGCTTATTGTTCTCCCTCCGGTCGCGTCGACTAGTCATGCGGTCGTGGTCGTCGCGGGTTTCGATGTCTCCGGTTTGACAGCGTTCGCGTATTTATCGTAATGCAAGAGTGTGTTGTGTCGCTTTTGGCAGATAGTGCAACTCGAAAATTTGCAAGGACTATCGCGATGTGAGCGCATACAGTTGTAACAGATCTTTGCGTTCTTTACTAACTCGATACGTTTAGGCACGGACAATTGTTTGAACTTGTCGCATATGTACAGAGGATGTCGCTTGGTTTTGCACGCCACGCAATTACGCGTTGAGTTTAATACGAATGCTTGATTTGCGGAACAACGCTTCCTCTTAATCGGGGGCTCGCCCGTGCCTCTTGCCTGGTCTGCGATCTTTGTTCCTTCGCGTCTCGATGCGCAAACCGCGGACTTGTACAGAAATTCGTACATCTGATCGAGATTCGGAACTTCGTCTCTTTCGAGACTCGCTTCCCATCTTTCTAATGTGCTCTTCGGCAACTTGCCTTCTAAAATGTGTACGATCATTTCAGGCCCGACGGAAACCCCTAGCGCGCTCAGTGAAGCGACATGCTGCTGAGCATCATCAGCGAGTTTGGATAGACCGCTCGTCGTTTCTTTATCTAATATCGGTGTATTTAAGATAAGTGAAAGGTGTCGAGCTATTAAGACTCTTTTCACCTCATATGAGCGCTCTAGTAATTCCCATGCCTTTACATAGTTTATTCCGTTGACCGCGAAGATTTTTACTTTGTTCGCTGCTTCCTCGATTAAGGCGGATTTCAAGTAGTGTAATTTGTCTATGTCCGACAAATCGGTTCGCGACCCTATCATGTTACTAAACGCGTTTTTGAACGAGAGCCAGTTTTCGTACTTGCCATCGAACGTCGGCAGTGGCGCGTCGGGTAACTTGATTCGCCGTTTCGTGACGGGAGCGATGCCTACTCTATTATCAATTTGCGGCTCGTCGCTTGTTGTACCGGCGTTCGCGTTCGAAATGTTCACCGGGTTTAGAATATTTTCGGCCTTACCCGCTAGATCATAAAAGCGTTCTTGGACCTGCTTGAATTCATTTCGATGACCCTCTTCCGGCTCTAATACCATGAGTTCATCGTTATGATCCTCAAACGCATGATATAACTCTGTTAGACGGGCGAGTCTTAATTTTAACGCGGTGTTATCAATCTTTCCCTTGTCGAGAAGATTGCTTACATTTGTGATCTGCGACTTTAGGGAGGTCCGCTTTTGCACGAGGAGCTTAATTCTTTCTGACATGTTTAGGCGATTCAGGATGGGATCAGGAAAGAACGACTTACACTCTACTCGGCTGTAAGATGCGGGTGGATGTTGTTCGTTGCTTCACCCTCCTAGCAGCCTCGAACTCGTAGACGCGTGGAAGACGTCGTCCTTCTCCTTCACCGTTCCAGCAGCCTCGAATTCGTAGACGCGTGGAAGAAGTCGTCCTTCTCCTCTCGTACTTCTCTTCTCGATCTTGCGTGAGGCGTATACCTCACAGGAGGCACCAAAATGTTGTGTGGTCAGCGCCAAGAACTTGACACTGTGGTTTCGTTTTTGAATGTTTATTTCATATGGTTCGGTACACTTGAGCTTTGATACCGCTCTTACACTCTCTTTGGTTCATTCGCGTCGTGAACGAAAGGCGCCTCGAGGATCGTCTCTGAGCCGCGACGACGTCTCGAGCTCGGCTCGGGTCGCGGCAACGCTTCGACGACGACCCTCCCTTTGGGCACTATGTGATTCGCTTCGAACACACGCGCGTCGCGGTACCGCTTATGGTTCTTGCCTTGATCGGGCAGACCTTGTCGCGCAATGCGTATCGCGGGCTGGCTTGACACGCGTCGCGCTTCTTGACTGATTCGATACTAGTGATGGTGACTACGAAACGAGACTGAGTATTAAAAAGGACTGTCACGCTCGTCTATATATGCCGTGATCCCCCAACAAGACTCCAGGAAACTTCCCGAGCTCCTACTGGTGGGCCCCTAGGTCCGCCCATCGATCATCGATCAACAGACTTCGGGGAAAACAAAGGGAGCGGAGATTACGGAAGCCACGCGTCCGAGCTCACCGTCGTCGTACATGTTCGAACTCGTACCGCACGTTGCCTCAATCTCTGGTAAACAAGATTGCGCGGACGCGTCGCCAGACGGTCGCCTGCGCCGTTGCGTGTGTTCTGTGCCGCTTATTTTATCGTTTTTTTTGTGTATGTACATACGCGCATCGTTAATGTCGTGCACGACCTGTCTACGACGCAACA